GCCCCAGTAACTACGTCAAGCACATGTCTTTTGTAGGGAGGATCCTCCAATATTCTGCGCCGGTGCCCTCCTTTTCGTCTCCCTCCTGTTCCTTTTCGTCCGCCTCTTCTGGTTGAGTGCTCTTCTGGCAGTTTTCGCCCAGAGAGGGCTGGGACTGCAGTTGTATTCCGCAGCGTTGGTTCGTTTGGTCTACGTCCAGGGTCGGCAAGTGTGGTGCGGCAGAGGGCGTTTCGTCAGGCTATGAGCCTGCCAACGGAATGCCTGCACATCCTGTGTCACAGTCGTGCTGCGCGGGTGTATGTATGTGTGTGTGTGTGTGTGTGTGTGTGTGTGTGTGGGTGCGCGCTTTGTCTCAGGGCTTGACTGCTGCGTCGCAGTCGTGATGCGCGGGCGGTTTCGCCATGTTGCAGGCCGTTGCCTGCCTGCGTCCAGCTCGCGTTGCTGTTTCTTCTTCCCTCCTTCCTCCCCTTCTCCTCCTCCCCCGCCCCCCCCTCTGCGAAAGCGTTCTTCTTGCATTTGTGAACTTGCCCCAGTGTCTGCCCGTCGCCTTCCCTGGCCGCCGCGCCGCTTCACCGGGCTCTGCCGGAGGTATGCAGCGGTGTCGTGCCTCGGGGTGTGGGGGGGGTCGCGCCCTGGCGGGCCCCCGACCGCAGCCGGCATGAGCCAAGAGCGCGGCCCGGCATCCTGGCGAATGGCGCTGCCCAGCTTCACCGGGGAGCGCGGTGGTTTTCGTGCGGCGCGCTCCCGCCTCTCACACCTTGTACGCCAGAAGGGGGGGGCAAGGGGTGTGCGACACCACCGCCTCTTCCTCGTCGGCGGCTGGTCCCGGATTTGCTCCCGCCAGGCAATTCTGAGTCGCAGTGGCTGGAGGCTGGGCGCCGTGGGCCGTGGGCCGTGCGCAGGACCGCGCACCCTGGGCGCTGTTGATCAGCTAAATGCGACACGCGAAATGCGAAAATGTTCTTTTACCCAAGTTCTACTCTGCTCTCCCTCTGTCTCTGTCTCTGTCTGTCTGTGTCTCTAGATAAGTAAATCAATCAATAAATATATATACACACACACGTATGTATGTACGTGCGTACGTACGAACGTATGCATGTATGTATTTTTTGTATGTATATACACACTCACCTCGGTTTTCTATATCTGATGTGTACTCTCTGTTCTCTGTTCTCTATCCTCTCATTCTGAACGTGGTCGCAAGGACCTGTGTACTTGCCGCAGCCAGGAGCTCACGAGAGCCCAGGAGCCTCACAATGTCGACAGCTTCGGACCCAGAAGCGTGAACCCAGGAAGCCGGCCGCACACCGAAGCGGGCCTGGAACCCGGAACCGGGAACCTGGGAACCGGGCCGCCCACCAGGGTCGGCCCAGATTTTCGGCCAACTCAGCATTTGCCAGAACCCCTTCGGCGCAAACGCCGATTGGGAAACAGCGCCATAACAAATATTTACACATGGGGATCTCCGCGTGGAATAGTTCTTGACGGCTTGGTCGGGTGGCTTCCCACCTCCCCGCACAGGTCGGCCAGTGGTGCCGCCAGCAGCGCTGGCGCTTCGCCGACGGGGCAAAGGAACTTGCGCGTGTGGGGCCAGCGTGCCCCACGCGCGAGCAGTTTCAGAGTTGCCGCTGTGTGCGCTGGGCAGGGAAACTGTTGTTTCAGGGTGCGCAGTGACTGCAGTCTGTATGCCACGGTCGACCCGCATAACTCGAGAGGGTCGCAAAAGGCCGCCCGACACGGGTACGGAAACAACGAGTACGATGCGCAACAGCAACCCTTGTCCAAAACCGGCAGCGTTCGCTGTTGTGCAGGCGCCCTTGTGTCTTCAATGTGCAGCGTCCGTGGCGACGCCGACAGCGAGTTCTGTTCGAAACGGACAGAGCCAGGTCTGCATTGACCCAGGTTTGGGTGCACGATCCTGCAGGATCTTGCAGGATCTTGCAAGGCCTGGCTGACCTGGGTGTAGATTGACCCGGGTCTGTAATCCCCGAGCCCTGATCCGAGCAGATGTTTTGCAGTCGAAGCTTTGGGATAGAGTCCGCCTTGTTTCGAAAGTGGCTCAATCCAATGTGGGTACCTTAGACCCCAGTGGCGCATGCGTGTCCCGCACCCAGTACAAGTACAACGTTTCGTGGCCCCACGGGAGCTCCACTGAAGGCCCCAGTGGCCGCGGCCGCACGCGCACCTCCCGCCTTGCACAGCGGTTCGTGGCCCCATAGAGAGTTCGACCGAAGACCCCAGTGTCCGCGGCCGAATGCGTCTCCTCCCACCCATTACATGACACCCCTCACGCGTTTCGTGGCCCCATATGGAGCTCCACAGAAAGCGGTACCTCCAATGCGGTACAGTTAACCCGCATGGTAAGGATGAGCAACTTTCCAAGGTTACTCACGGTTGCGCTTGCATCCTTCCCTTTCGGCCCATCTCTGGCCGCTTTCTCTGGCTGCGCCCCGCTCGCAGAGTGCTGGCATGGCCTTCCAAGGCCCTTGCATACTTATCGTGCGTCCTTATTGTACGGGTTGGCTGTATGCACACTTGCATATGCTTTGGTCATTCGCTCGGTTAATTTCCTTATCAGGCTGTTCTAAGGGTTTCTTTTTTTTGTTTTGGAGAACCGATGGGCGCGACGCTCCTTATCGGGGGCGGCCCCCCGTCATGCTCGGTTCCCCTGTCGTGGTTTCCGTGCTGCCTTGCTCGGGGTCCCTGGTCTTGTTTTTTGGGTTCGGAGCCCAAGGATCAAGACTGGGGAACAGAGGAAGGACCGGGGAACCTTTCCCCGGTCCTTTCTTTGTTCCCTGGTCTTCTTCCTTGCCTTCTTTTTGTGGGTTCCCCGGTTTTGTTTCTTGGGTTTCCCTGTCGTGCTCCCTGGGTTTCTCAGTCCGTGCAAGGGCAAACAATTCCAAGCACTGCTGAGCCTTGCCAACGAACGCCAAGCAATGCGAAGCACTGCCAATCAATGTGAACCAGGTAGAAGCAAAGTAAAACAAGCTAATGCTAAGCAACGCCAGGTATCGCCAAGCTATGCCAAACAATGTCAAGCAGTGCCAACCAATACCTAGGAATGCCTGGCATTGCCCAGCAATGCCAATCAATGCCCAGCAATGCCAATCAATGGCGAGCATTGCGAGGTAATGCCAAGCAGCGCCAGACCATGCCAAGCAACGCAAACCAACGCCAAGAAATGCCTTCCTTGCTCAGTTACTTACTTAGGAAGCTCGCCTCTAATTGGGGTCGCGCTGGGTTCTTTGGTGGTCGCAGGACCCGCCAGCAGCCCCCAGAGGCCGGAAGCGAAGAGAAGCGCTGGGGCCGAAAAAATCGCATTCCTCTTTTCCTCTGGACGCCTTGTGACTGCTGCCTACCCCCGCAGAAGGTGGGGAGGTTGGAACGCTCGGGGGAACAGAGTGCCGAACCTCCTGGGCCCCTCCCCCGGCGCCACCGCCTCGGCGCACAAAGCGCCCACCGAGCGGAGAAGCCAGCGGCCGTGTGTCGAGAACCCCCCGAGCTTCCCAGGCTCAAGTCTCGAACGCGGGCGCGTCTGCGGGTTGGGCTCCTGGGCGTTTTTTTTGTGCCGGTGCCCGTGCTCCTACAGCGACCGCGAGGGCAACGTTGAAACGGGGGGGCCGGGGCGACCCCGTCGATCGAGGGAAACAGCACGGTGACCATGACCAAGACGTCGCGGGATCTCGTCGACGCCGATCTCGGTCGTGGTCCATGCCGGCCCTCACCGATCCGCGAGGATGAGCCACGGATCGACGGTGACCGGGACGGACGATGACCGAGGTCGACGCCGACATTTTTTTTCGCGTCCAGACTTCTCAGACATCCGACGTCGTGATTTTTTCACATCGTGGCTCGCCAGAGCTCCGGACCCCTTCCCAGGGGCTGGTTTTGCATCCCGGGACGATTTTTGACGGCCTCTGGGGGCCCGGCGAGGGCCCCCAGAGGCCGACCTGGGGCAGGAGCCCGCCGCCGTGCGTTTTTTTTCGCGACGCGAGGGGGTTTGGGAAGGCAGCGTGGACAGAGAAATGGTGGGCCCAGGGGCGGCCCCGTCGAATGATCACTTCTGTTGGGAGGATGCAGCTCTCGAGGGTCAAATTCGTAGTCGGCGCTGGTAGATCCCTGGTCGAAAACTGGCCTAGTCTTGGTTAGGCCCGCTGAACCCTGTTGGAATCCAGTTCAATTCTCTTACTCCAGTTTGATCCCGCTTGCTCCGGCTTCATCCTGAGCTTAGGCCAGCCTGATTTTTGCCCAGTGACCTCACACGAAGTCTTTACAGCCTATAATCGTTATGACGTAGACCTCCCGCCGAACTTTTGCATGGGCGCTTTTGGTGCTGGCCCGCAGCAGGTCGGCTTGAGCTTGCCCGGCGACTCTCTGACTCGTACTGTGGCCATATATGGCCTGGGTATCGACTTCTGGTTGTCGCGGTCCCTCTTCCTCCTCGTCCTCCCCAGATCTCCGACGTCATGATTTTTTCATGACCTCGTCCTCCAGAGGTCTGGACCAGTTCGCTGGGAATAGTTTTCCCGCCCGAGTCGTTTTTGACGGCCCCGGGGCCCAGCGAGGGCCCCAATAAGCCGAAACTGTGGAGAAGCCTCCCGTCGTGTTTTTTTTGACCCGAGGGGGTCTGGGTCCTCCTCCTGCTCCTCCTCCTCCTCCTCCTCTCCCTCCTCCTCCTCCTCCTCCTCCTCCTTCTCCTCCTCTCCTCCCCCTCCTCCTCGTCCTCCTCCTCCTCCTCCTCCTCCTCCTCCTTCTCCCCCTCCTCCTCCTCCTCCTCCTCCTCCTCCTCCTCCTCCCTCCTCCTCCTCCTCCTCCTCCTCCTCATATTCCCCCTCCTCCTCCTCCTCCTCCTCCTCCTCCTCCTCCTCCTCCTCCTCCTCCTCCCCCTCCTCCTCCTCCTCCCCCTCCTCCTCCTCCTCCTCCTTCTTCTCCTCCTCCTCCTCCTCCTCCTCCTCCTCATCCTCCTCCTCCTGGGCGCTTCTGGCGCCGGCTCGCGGCAGGTCTTCGAGCCGGACAGCTCGTTCTTCGAGCTGCGGCCGGGCAGGGGTGCCGCGCAGGGGCGGCGCTCGTCCTCGGGCGGCTCGGGCGACAAGGTGGCGCCCGGCATGGAGGTGCGCCGCGCAGCTCCCAGGGAGGAGGAGGAGGAGGAGGGGGAGGAGGAGGAGGAGGAGGAGGAGGAGGAGGAGGAGGAGGAGGAGGAGGAGGAGGAGGAGGAGGAGGGAGGAGGAGGAGGAGGAGGAGGAGCAGGAGCAGGAGCAGGAGCAGGAGCAGGAGGAGGAGGAGGAACTAGTTTAAGGTTCGAAGTTTTATCTTGCTTTGGTTCGATGATTTATTCCCCACCGGACAGGTCGGTGATGTTAGGTTTTAAGGGAAGCGCTCCTGGTCCGCCTCGCACACCCTGCATACTGCAGGGCCAGCGGCACGTTGGCCTCCAAGGGAGGAGGAGGACGAAGAGGAGGAGGAGGGACCAGTTTAATCCCAGGGCTCATCAACGATGTTGCAATAAACCCTCCCTCCAAGGTCCCTCTTCACAGGGGCCCCATGCAGGGATTGATTTTCACTGAGGGAAGTGTCCCGTTGGAAGATCAAAACGCATTCCTGGGATTCCAGCGTCCCGAATCACCGTTATTGTTGCGTCTTGACGACCCTGAATCGTTCCAGAACGCCGTTTCTGGGACTTCAAGACCTCGAATCAACGTGACTGTTACGCCCTGATGCTCCGGCATGGTACCAAAACATTATTTCTGGGACGTTAGCCGTGAACATTGTTGAAACTGTTGCAAATTCTTAAGGCGAATGTGCGCGGCGCTAAGGCGAGAGCTACGTTTTGAAAAGGAACCGCCCTCCATCCGCGAAGCTTTCTGCAATTTTTTAAGACGAATGTGAGCGGCGCTAAGGCGAGAGCCACATTTGGCCGCCAGGGCCAAAGTGTGCCGGTGCTCCCCGGGTTTCTTGCCTCGCGTCTTCGACAAACGACGACTGCATGCCGCGGCCGCCAGGCCCCAAGGGTCCCGGCGCTCCCCGTGTATCCTGCCTCGCGTTCTCGGGAGGGGATCGTTTGAAGCAACATTCTGAGACTTTTTATGTGGTTTTTAAGTCGGGCGTGTCCCTCGACAGGAGGAATATTCAAAAATAGTCTGGGGACTATTTTTTGACTATTTTTGGCTATTTGGGGGTACTTTTTGACTATACTTATTTTTTCGTGCAAAATCGGCCTGTAGGGCGACAGGCCCGACTTAAATGTAGTGGGCGCGGGCCCGTTTCAGATCGTACAGGAGGTGCCGTGGTCGTCGTTGTGGGGGAGCGCGCCGATATTTCGGCCAGGTCCGGGGCCCAGAAGGACCCCCAAGCCTTCCTTCCGTGCCCTCGTCACATGCGAGCGACGCCGACGTTGGAAGCTGCTACCTGCGCAGATATGTATGTCTAATGTGTGTGTACAGCCAAGACGCTGAAATAAGGAACAGGTTGGGTTCGGAAGGGGCTCGATGTTCCTTACGTCCTTCCGTGGTTGTTCCTCTAGCCCTTCTCGTGCACTCAGGCTTTTTTGAAGCCACAGAGGGGCTTCGTTCCTTATTTAGCGTTCCTTATTTCAGCAGCCCGACTGTACTTGCATAGTGGCCTTCGGCCCATGTCGTCACCGTGCCTGGGTTGTGGGAGAGGCCTCTTGGGTGCCTGTTGGGGTCTCTTGGGATGCCTCTTGGAGGTCTCTTGGGGGCCTCTTTGGGGTCGGTTGGGCGCTTCCAGCGGGATGTTGGGGGCATGTTGGGGGTATTGGGGATCATTTTGGAGGGAAAGTCTTCCGAGGCCCCTTCACTTTCCTCCTCTTGGGCCTCTCTTGGGGCCTCTTGGTGGCCTCTTGGGAGGCTCCTACATTGCCGTGGCGACAGTTGGTGCGGTTTTGTCAGATGCTGGAGCTCCCTATCCTTCTGAAGATTCCTAACATGGGCAGATGGTCCCTGCGCTCCAGTGGAGTAATTTGGGTTCCTCTGAAATAGTATCTCCCGCCATCTCAAAACAGGATCGGACAATTCTCCGCCCAGTCTATTATGACAAATGGGGCGGGATGCATGTGACTTTGCCCACCCCGCCTACTCCGCCAGTTGTCAGTCATCTTGCACGCAGACCAAATCGTATTATTGTTATGGCGATGTAGCCAGTCTTGGGGGTCTCTTGGGCCATCTGAGGGCCCTCTTGGGCCCTCTTGGGGGCCTCTGGGGCTGTCTTGGCCGTGTTGGGTCAAGATTCTTCGTACGGTTTCTGGAGCAGAAGTATGTCAGGAAGTGCTAAGGATACGTTGTATGCAGTTGCTCCCCAATGGACGCGTGTTGCGTCGATGCGCTTTGTGCGGGTGTGGGCGGGGCGGAGGCGGTGCGCAACAATGTTTTCGCCTGCGGTGGCGATGGATGCAGGCGTACCAATGCCCGGTGCACCAGTTTGTGTGTGTGTGTGCGCGTGTGTGTGTGTGTGTGTGTGTGTGTGTGTGTGTGTGTGTGTGTGTGTGTGTGTCTGTGTGTGCGTGTTGAGTTATCTCCTCGTTTTCTGGCCGCTGCACGTTTCGCTTGTACTTACAGTTCCTCTTTCACACTCATTGCTTGCATGCTGCGGTGATGTTGCTTGTGCGCCGCGCTATCGACAACGTTCGGTCGCAGTTCGCATTTCCATCTGCTTTTCGCGCTTGAGGACCCTCTGCGCCGCCGTCTTAAAAAGTGTGTTTGTGCGTGTGTGTGTGTGTGTGTGTGTGTGTGCGTAAGCCGTGCCGGTACGCGCGCTCGCCTGACTTTTCTACGCCGCGCCGCTGCGCAAGTGGCCACGACGCCAAAAATTGTGTGTGTGTGTTTCCCTATGTGCGGATCCCTGTCCCTGGCTGCTGAGTGGCCCAGCCGCGCGTTCTCTGCTTCGCCTCGACCTTGTACGTCTCGACGCTGCGCGCGATGCCGCGATGCCCAATAAGTTTTTTGGTTGTCTTAACATACACTGTTGTCCTAACATGCATAGATATATGTTTATATCTCGATAAACATAGAAATGAATGTCGTATGTTCTTGGTGCATGTGTGGTTGCCGTGGTTTTGGTTGCTGTGTATTTTTTGGTGTCGTTTTTTGTTCCATCAGTGTAGGTGTTTCCCTCGCCCCGTTTTATTGTAAACATTGTTTATGTTAGTTGTTGCCTTTTGCATTTTTCTTGTGTCTATTGTGGTTTGTGCATTTCTCCACGGATCCACCCGCTTCGTTCGGACCCGTGCAAGCCATTCGCGGAGCTGTGGCGAGTTTGGCTGCCTCTGGCGACCCTCGCGGAAAACCTCATGCGCACGAACGAAGGCCGCGTCTGGGCGTCGGCAAGCTTCTCTACTTCTCCCTCGGACGTCGTGCCTTCTCTCGCATCGTGGATCCCCGAGGTCCCGATTCCTTCCCCGGAGCGGCTCCTCACCCTGAGCCGTCTTTTTGGCGGTGTGGGGCACGGTAGGAGCTCCCGAAGGCTGAACGTTGTCGACGGGGACCTTGCGTCGTGATGTTTTTCGCGACGCGGGGGGGGGTCCGGGACCCTGCCCTTCCAGCCTTTTCCTCTCCGGCTGTCCAGGCTTCCGGGCGTCGTGACACAACTCGGTACGTTCTCTTTGGAAGTTTCAACTGCTGTTTCAAAGCTCTGGGTTTGTGGAAGCCAGTTTTAAGTCGGGTCTGTCCCTCTACACGGGGAATAGTGAACAATAGTTAAATTATTGAACAATAGTTAAAAAATAGTCAGGGGACTATTCTTTAACATATTTTTTGACCATTTTGGAGCATCCTTTGCGTATTTTCTATTTCTCGTCGAAATAAGGTGACGACGTCGGGGGTCAGGCTTCATGGTCTTTCTGTGATTCGAAGGGCCGTGTGTTCTGTGTGCAAGGCCAGGCGATGCGCATCAGTCTAGGCGTGATTCCTTCGCCTCTCCCCTTCCGCCTGCGCACGGTCTCGAATTCTAGCTCCGCTCTCCAGTAGCTCAGGCGACCTTTGGTCTGTCGGATTGCCGCGCGCCAGCCTTCTCACGGGAACGTGCTGAGGCGCCTGTGTGTGTGTGTGTGTGGGTGTGTGCGCGTCTCTCGCCGCATTCGACGCGCTCGTACTGCACATCGCCGAAGGATTAAATTTGTGCGCGTGCGTCCGCACCACCCTCGAGCTGCTCCCGCTAGCCTGACTCCGCCGCGTTGATGCGCGCGTGGCTGCAACGCCCACATGTGTGTGTGTGTGTGTGTGTGCATGCCCCGCCGCCTCGATGCGCGCGTGGCCGCGACGCGAAAAAGTGTGTGTGTGTGTGTGTTTCTCGGGGGCTCGGCCTGGCGGTGCCTTTCATCGCACGTGCTGGCCAGGGCACCGGCGTTCTTGCGCCCCCAGTGGTGCGCGTGGCAATTTCCACGGGCACCGCTCGTGGTCGGCGCCTTTCTCCGTCTGGCAGCTTGTCCAGCGGCGGCTTTACCGCCTTATTGCTTGCGCATTGGCACGGGGTGCGGGCTGGCATGGCCGCGGCCTTTTTAATCTTTGCTTTCTGCATCGCACCCGTGGTGCGCGTCCGCACCTGGGGCTGCAGTTTGCATCTCTTTCTGGCTTTAGCTGTATGTCAGCTTGATTTCCGGCATCTATGCGTTGGCGTATCCCGTTGGCGGGTTCGCTTTGCTCGTCCTTTTTCACTTTGTCGCCCTTGGTCGGTATGGTGCGATCTTCGTGGTGACCCGCATAGTCTCTTTTGAGCCTAGGTGGTTGCTCATCTTTCCGTTCTGCTCATCTGCCTTCATGGTAGCTCTTCGCGGCCTTGGCTGCGTGGGGGTTGCTGTTTTAGCACTGGCGCCTGCACCGCACGCTGGCCATGCTCGCGCCTGTCCACCACCAACGGTCATGATCGCGCTTGTCCACCACCCAGGTCCGCCGCCGTGTGAAGCGGTTGCTGCTCGCGGTCGCCCGCGTTCAGTCAGCCCCGTCTTTTGTTGTTGCTGTTGTGGTGCTTCCGCGGCCTATAGGTCTAGCACTCCACCCGTGCTATTGCTCTTGCGCTGCTGGTTCGTAGGGTGGCACCCGACCCATCGTCTCGCCAGACCATAGGGCAGCGTTACTTCACCAATGGGCAGGTCTGGCAGCTTCACAGGTTGTAAGTTGTACCGACGTTTGAGGTCCTTGAGTCGAGCTATCGCGCTTCTCGGGTTCTGGCCGCTGCGCGTCTTTTGGGATTGCAGTCCCATCGCTACACCTACCATCTTGCAATTTACAGCGTGCGACGCCTCGCACTGCTGTTCTTTCGGCTCAGTCCGTCTGAAATCAGCACTTTCATCTGCTGCCTGCGACTGGGGTTCCCCTGCGCCGTGCGTGCGCGCGCGCGCGCGCGCGTGTGTGTGTGTGTGTGTGTGTGTGTGTGTGTGTGTGTGTGCGTGCGTGCGTGTGTGTGTGTGTGTGTGTGTGTGTTTGTGTGTGTGTGTGTGCTCTTCCGCCGTTCCTGATATGTTTATGCTCGTGCATTGCTCTCCCGATCCTCTTAGAAAGCATGGAGGAGGTGGAGGAGGCTCCAGCGTCGCAAGTGTGATGGGCCGCCCAGAGAGAGTTTTGCAACATTGCGAATCCCATCGAAACTGCTTGCCGTGAAGCTCCCATCAGGTATCGTACGTGGTCCGGTTCAAGCCCGACGCCAAGATCGATTATTCTTACGATCTTGTGGTGGCAGCCACGTTGCTCTTTTGTCTCGTCTCCCCCCTCTGTTGCAACTCCTGGGAGGCTGAATTCAATCTGCGCTGGCATATCCGTGGTCGAAAGCCGTCCTACTCCAGTCTGATCCCGCGTAACCTGGCCTTCGCCCGGCCGGCTTGACCTGGCCTAAGTCTGCATCTCTGGCAGTTCAGTATGTTGAGTAGTTTTCTTTCCGTCCCTCGTCCTTTGGAACGAGCATCGCCCTTCCCCCCGCTTCTCCGTCCGCCCAAAGAGTTGAGCTGAGCATCGCCTGTGCCTGTCGGTGCCAGTGGTCCTGGATTGCATATAGCGTAGTAGATGGGGGAGTCGATGGGGAGGAGGTGGATGACCAGTGTAAACCCAAGAGTCACCAACGATGTTGGGATAAACCCTCCCCCCAAGCTCCTTCCTCATAGGCCCCTACAACGGTTCATTTCCACAGAGGGACCTGCCTCGTTGGAAGGCAACCGTTTGAAGACATTGAAGCATGCCAAAACATTACTCTCGGTATTCCAACGCCACGGATGAACCTGACTGTTGCGTCTTGACGATCCTGAATCGTGCCAGAACGCCATTCCTGGGACCTCAGCTCCGCGAGTCATCCTAACTGTTGCGCCCTCAAAATCGTGAACCCTTCCAAAACATCATTTCTGGTACGTCGATCATGGGGATCCGTGAAACTCTTGAAATTTTGTATTCAGAATGTGCGCGGCGCTAAGGCGAGAGCCACATTTTAAAAACGACCCGCCCTCAATCCATGAAGCGCTTGCACATAAAAAAAAAAACGCATGTGCGCGGCGCTACGGCGAGAGCAACATATTGAAAATGGAAGGCCCTCAATCCGTGAAACCCTTGCAAATTTTGCAAACGAGCGTGCGCGGCGCTAAGGCGAGAGCCACATTTTCAAAAGGAACCGCCCTCAATCCGTGAAGCGCTTGCAAGTTTTTATAACGAATGTGCGCGGCGCTGAGGCGTGCGTTCCTGGGACGCGGCGTTTGTTCCCACCGAGGCCATGCCCAGGTGGTGGTTGGTGGATGCAGTTCGGAAGGCCGTAGTGGGATTGAGCTATGCTGGATAGCGTGGCTGGCCTCTAACAAAGGGCGCGGGGTGCCCCGAGCTGTTGTGGCTGACCTCAAGACCACCTAAAAAACCAGCGCGAACTTGGTTATGCAAATTAGCATTTACACACTCAGCTTCGTCATACTCAGACTCGCTCATACTCAGATTCCCCGACACCTAGACCCGCTAACACACAGACTCTCACAGTCAGACTTCATTCGCAGCCCCACGCTCATATCATGAGGTACTCATGGCCAGACCGCGCGCACACACATATTCAGTTACATTCGGACCCATTCACCATCAGACGAACTCGCACCCGACGTAGCAGGCGTTGCACTTTGGCACTTCGAGGAAGAGCCGTCAGGGACGGCAGCACTTTCCCATTCGCGCCCAGATTCGGGGGGGGGACGTCTCAGGCGGTTTGCTGTTCCGACGCCCCCTGTTCCGTCATCTTGAGAGAGTCCCATGATCACTGCGACATGGCAGGCGTGTCGTTTGGGCACCCCACGAAAGAGCCGCCTCGCAAGCCTAGAGATTGACACCAACACCAATATCGGCGGTGTGCCTCCACCGACGGAAGAGGATCCCGATCTTGGTGATGGTGGTAATATTCTGGCTTCCAAGGTGACCGAACTATTACCACCAACACCGAAATCTAGGATCATCGTCCCCCTGTGGAGGCAGCCCCCTGTGTTGGTGTTGGTGCCCATTTCCAAGCCTCCCACCGCCGGGATGGGGACACCCGCCTGTTCGCGCCAAGATTCGGAACACGCCGCAGGCGGCTTGCTTGCTTCGGCGACCCCTGTTCCTCTCACTGGAGAGCCCCGTGATCACCGCGGCACGGCAGGCGTGGCATGTGAGCACTGCGCGGAGGGGTCGCGAGGGGGACAGTGGCCTGTCGGCGCCCAGATCCAGGGGATGTCTCGGGCGGCCTGCCCGCTTCGGCGCCCCCGGATCCTTTCTTTTAGACCGCTTCAGGATCCCCGCGATATGGCTGGCGTGGCATCTGGACACCCAGAGGGAGAGCCGCCAGGGAGGGGTGCACTTTCCCGTTCGCGCCCAGATGCGGAGGATCTCTCAGGCGCTTTGCCTGTGTCGGCGCCTCGGACACCTTTCCTTGGAGAGCCCCACGACCACCGCGATACAGCAGGCGCGGCGCTTGGTCACCCAGAGGAGGAGCGGCCAGGGCAGGGGACACTTGCCCGGTCGCACTCAGACTGTTGTGGATTGTGAAGAAGTCTCGAGCGGTTCGTGCGGTTGATGCCCACGACTCTTTCATAGTCGGAAGCCCCACAAACACTTCGATGTAGAAGGTACAGCATTTGGACACCCCAGGGAGGAGCCGCCCATGGGGGGCTTTCGCTTGCCTCTCGTGCCTAGATTGTGGGGATGCCTGGAAAGGTTCGCTGATTTTGACCCCCTTAACTCTCTCCGTTCGGAGTCCCATGATCACCGCGACGTAGGAGGCATAGCACTTGTGCACCCCAAGGGTGAGCCGCCGAAAGATGTCACACGTGCCAGCCCGCGCTCGGATCGTGGGACCTCCTGGGCGAAGCGCCGAGTTGGGCACCCCCGACCCCTTGTTCTCAGAGGCCAGAGCTCCTCCCGACGCAGCAGGCACAGTGAGCCTCTGGGGGGCATTCCTCGGTGGGGCTGCCGGGGAGCGCTCCGTCGCCACGGGCCGCGCTCCCCTCACCCGCGACGCTCACGGAGGGCAGCGCCAGGAGACACACAGAGAAGGGCTGGGGATCTCTGCGTCGGGGCCGATTTTTTTTTCCATCCGCGGCCACGGAGCTCGTCCCTGGGCCCGACGGCGGCCCCGGGAGGGGCTCCGAGCCGGAGGAAAAGACCGCCAGGCCTGAGCGCCTCGTGTCGTCGGAGCTCTGGGTTCTCAGTCCTCGTCCTCCTCCTCCTCCTCCTCCTCCTCCTCCTCCTCCTCCTCCTCCTCCTCCTCCTCCTCCTCCTCCTCCTCCTCCTCCTCCTCCTCCTCCTCCTCCTGCTGCCTCCTCCTCCTCCTCCTCCTCCTCCTCCTCCTCCTCCTCCTCCTCCTCCTCCTCCTCCAGCTGCCTCCGCTGCCTTCGGCCCAGGTGGTCACGGAGCGGGAGAAGTTCGCGGTGCCCATCCGCGCGTCCGGAGGCGGCCCCCGCAGCGGCCGGCGCGGAGGAGCGCGAGCGTGCGCCACCGCGGCCAGCCTTTCTCGGGTCTGTGCCTGTGGCAAGCAAGGATCGTCCGCACCGAAAGTATTGGCAAGGATCGTCCGCACCGGAGTCATTGAAGAACAGTGTTGCTCCAACATCCTTGTTCGGCAGTCAGCGTTTCACCCGAGACGTCCTCAAAGCATGGCTTCGTGCGGGTCTTCGAACACATCATGTTCTGATGAAGATGCTCGTCATGATGACGATGCTGACGCTGACGATGACGATGACGACGACTATGATTATGATGATGGTGATGATGATGACAATGCTGCTGCTGCTGATGATGATTACGCTGATGACGCTGTTGCTGATGATGCTCCTGCTCCTGCGGCTGCTGCTGCTGCTGCTGCTGACGAACACGACGACGATGTGATGGTGGGGTTGGTGATGGTCAGGGTGACGATGATGACGATAAAGATGATGGCTTCAGTGAGGGGGAGACGGAGGAAACTGCAGGCGTACAGAGCAGTGAGGAGGAGAATCACGGACAGACTTGTGAACATTTCAAGAGCACGTGTCATTGGTATCCCTTGTGGACGTTCAGGGAGCTCGCCTGCAGTACACTTGATACTGATGCTGCTGCAAGTTCTTGCACGGCTCTTCGCTCTCACGCACTTCCCGTTTATGTCAGGAAAGGTTTGATGAAGATTCGTGTGTCCGTCGGCTGCCGAGGTGGTGCAGGCGGGGGTATTGGAATCTCGCAAAGCGTGTGAGTGTGTGTGTGTGTGTGTGTGTGTCCCCTGCTCCCTGTGCCTAACCCATTACTCGTGGAAGCCCTGGTTCTTCGACCGATTCGCGCGAGCAAGGTCGCCCTGACAGCTGATAGTTCTCATGATGTCCTCACCCTCGCGTGGAATTTCCATCTTGCAGCCTTACTCATCGCTTGCTCCCTTGCTGCAACAACTGAGCTTGGCTTCTGATTTACACCCATGGCATCATCCCTGATCCTGGTCATGCAATTCGCTGCTGCTGCGGATTTCTTTTCCCTATGCCCTGGCGCCTCCATCTGAAACGAGGCTCTGCTTTGCTTTCGTTCCCCGATGAGATCGACTTCGGGGACGACTGTGTAGTTGGCCACCGCAGCGAGCGGACCGTGCTGGCGCGGAGCTTAGGGTTGTGTGGGAGAAGAAGTGCTTAGACAGGTAAAGGGTCTCCCCAATGAGATGAGGCAGCTGAGGGAGGGCAGGGGAAGGAGGCGTGAGGAGGTGGAGTAGGGAAGGGACGTGCAAAGGTAAAGGGAATAGGAAGGGAATCAAGATGAGAGGCGAGGAAAGTGGCGCTCTCGAGCGGGCTGGCAGTGGGGCGACATGACCAGCGGGCACCGCCGCCTCGGCTTTTGCGGTCACCAGCTACACCACCCGGTCATTGCCCAAACATTTAATCATGTTCCGCGTATGTCCACCACCCCTTGTGAATTTAGTTCATTTTGTTCTGTGCATGTGCAGCTGCGAGCTTTCGCAAATTATCTGGCTCTGTGCCCCAGTCAGCCCGATTGACCCGCCCTCTGGACTCTTCCTTGCGGGCCGCAGATCAAAAAAAGTATGTCCACCAACCCGTCCAGAAACGATTCCCAGTCGAGTTCCCGTGAGAGGTAAGGTGGTGGGGTCACAGTGGCAGAAAGAAGCAACAGGGCCTTTGCGGGGATATATTCACATGGCATTCCCCGTTCTCTTTCCTACACGAAGGTTCGCTGCATGGGCTCGCCGATTGTCGGTCGGGTCATGTGGCGCTCGTCAGCGCGGCCCGACGAGTGACCCGTTCACGAGGAACTGCACTGGCCAACCACGTGCGCGGCGGCCAAGGTCTGCGCAGCGGAAAAGCAGCTGGGAGCGACAGGTTGCCACTGGAGTCCTGGAATGCAGCCACCGACGACCGCGAGACAGTGCTGTCGTGGACCAGAGCTCTGGGTAACGTGATATGGACGTAGGCGCGTGTGCCAGAAGCTTGGCGAAAAGCACTGGCCCGCGCGATCTGCGAAAAAGTGTCTTGGGCTCTCGAGACAACTCGAGCCTTGTCTGCCTTCTCCTCTCTGTCTACGGCGTGCTTTACAGTAGTACTGTCTAGCCGCCGGGAGGTCGCCCGTGCCGAAGCCCATCACCTGGAATAGGCAATTTGGCTTCCGTCCCAGCAGGAGGACGGCAGTTACAGTCTCCATTGCAGGGATGGCGACAGAAGATTCGTAGGCAGCCAGGGACGGCGGGGCTTCTCTGCTACGGTAGGTTTGCGTCGTGTCGACCCTCGGCGACCCCGCCGCGGGCGCTCAAGGTTGGACGCCGCCAGTGGCCCAGAATCGGCCTATATGGAACGATCGGACGATCGAAAAGCCGCCGATCGTTCCAGGTTGAACGATCCACGCGGTGTCAAAAACCAACGCCGGAGGGATGAGGGAGGATGAGGATGGGGATGGGGATGGGAGGATGAGGATGGGGATGAGGAGGAGGAGGAGGATGAGGATGGGGATGGGGAGGAGGAGGAGGAGGAGGAGGAGGAGGAGGAGGAGGAGGAGGAGGAGGAGGAGCTACACCGCCCCTCTCCTCCACAGGCGGGGTTCGACTCGACCGACCGGACCGTGGGGAGCGCGTTCAGCAGCCCCAAGCCAAAGTGTTCGCACTGCTGTCAGAACTTCTGCACGGGGGAACCATCGGCCCCCTTTAAAAAACACCTGAGCGTCAGAGGAGGCGGAGCAGGCGGAGGAGGCGTGTGATGATGACAGTGATATGATGATGAGAATGATGATGATGATGCTGATGACGATGATGATGATGATGATGATGATGATGATGATGACGATGATGATGATGACGATGATGCTGATTCTGACGATGCCAATGCCAATGCCGATGTCGATGACGATGACGATGACGTTGATGGTGGTGACGATGACGATGCTGGCGATGACGATGATGGCAATGACGACGATGATGATGCTGATGATGAAACTGATGATGATGCTGATGATGCTGCTGCTGATGATGACGATTACGATGATGATGACGATGACTCAGAAGACTATGATGATGCTGATGACGATGCAGATGATGATGGTGATGGCGACTTCGACGATGATGATGCTAATGAAGATGATGCTGACGATGATGTCGATGATCATGACAGTGATACTAACGATGCTGGTGATGATGCTGATGACGATTGCGCTGCTCATGAAGATAACGACGACGACGTTAACGATGACGATGACGAGGATGCTGCTGATGCTGATGATGATGCGAATGATGTCGGTGATCACGATGACGATGACGACGATGACCATGATGGTGATGATGTTGACGACGACGATAACACGGATTCTGATGATAATGATGATTCTGATGCCAATGATCAGGATGATGCTGCTGATGATGATGACGATGATGATCATGATGATGACGACGACGATGACGATGACGATGACGACACTTATGTTGATGATGACGATCACGACTATGGTGATGATGGCGCTGCTGATGATGACGATGATTATCATGATGCCGCTGCTGCTGTTGCGGCTGCTGCTGATGATGATGACGATGCTGATTATGGCAATCGTGATAGCGATGACGAGTATGACGACGACAACGACGACGATGAGGATCATGATTGTTATGACGATGATGATAGCGATGACGCCGATGATGACGACGGTGCTGCTGATGATGATGATTCATGTGCTGATGATGCTGTTTGTTTTGCTTCTGTTGATGAGGTTGGGAATGATCCCATGACTCCCTCGAGCCCTGTGGTGGTGCCCCCCCAGACCGTGCGAGAACCAAATAGATCATCCCTAGCACTTGCAAACAGCACCCTCGGGAGGGAGGAGGAGGAAGAGGAGGACCATGAGGAGGAGAAGCAGGAGGAGGAGGGGGTGAGGAAGCGGGAGAAGGCGTAAGTGAAGCATGAAGAGGAAGAGGAAGAGGTTGAGGGAGGCTGAATATGTGGATGATGAGGATGATCAGGATTGGGTTGAGGAGGATGGGGATGAGGATCAGGAGGACAATTATTCAAATGATGAGCATCATTATGATTCAGATGATTGTGACGAGGGTGATGCTGCTGATGACGATGACGATGATGGTGATTATGATGATAGCGACGATGATGACGATGATTTTGACGATAATTGTGATTACGATTATAATGATGACGATGACCATGATGATGATGATGATGATGATGATGATGATGATGATGATGATGATGATGATGATGATGACCATGATGATAATGAGGAGTGTGATGAGGATGCTTACGACAACGACGACGCGGACGATGATGATGATGATGATGCTGATGATGATTATGATGATAATTGTGGTGGTGGTGATGATGATGGTAATGATGATGATTCTGATGATGCTGCTGCTGCTGATGATGATGATGATGATGATGATCCTGATGGAAATGGTGCTGCTGCTGTTTATGGTGTTTATGGTGATGATGATGATGATGATGATGATGATGATGATGATGATGATGATGATGATGATGATGGTGGTGGTGGTGGTGGTGGTGATGATGATGAAGAGGAGGAGAAGGAGGAGGGAGGAGGGAGGAGCGAGGAGGACCTGGGTGCCCCGCCGAGGTCCGGAATGTTGGCGACCGGAGCACGAAGTTCTCGCTGAGAACCCACCCGCCGTTCAGCGTCACCGTCCCCGACGGCTACCTCGCAGAGGGTGCCAGGGAGAACGACGAGGAGGGAAGGATGAAAGAAGAGGAGTGCGGAGGAGTCGGAGGAGCAGAGGAGGATGCGGAAGAAGAGGGGCAGCAGGGGGCGGAGGAGAAAGAATTGAGGAGTGAGGGTGGAAACAATGAGGCATGTTGAGGAAGGGATGCGGGGGTGGTGGTAGTAGTAGTAGTAGTAGTAGTAGTAGTAGTAGTAGTAGTAGTAGTCGTAGTAGTCGTAGTAGTAGTAGTAGTAGT